CTCACTTACGCACACACATATACGTACACAAACACATACACACACACACACATATATATATATATATATATATATATTGGTAACAGACTGTTGTTAACGCAACACTTCAAAAATTCAACACTACTTTCAACATTGTTCAACTTTTTTATATTTCTTTTTATTTGTTATTGAAATTAATAAAATAAAAAGAAATATAAAAAAGTTGAACAATGTTGAAAGTAGTGTTGAATTTTTGAAATATATATATATATATATATATATATATATATATATATATTCATACACGCATATGTATTCTGCATTTGCATTGCAAAATAATAATTTTTCGCTAAAATGCAGATTTTAATCGCTGTTGTGTATAATGGTTTGTTTTTTTCTTTTATATATATATATATATATAATTTGGTATGAGGTTCTCAGATACCAAATTATTTATACACTATAAATATATATATATATATATATGATTTGATGATATAATATTGATTCTTTCCTTTCCGATATTATTATTAACAATAATATTATAATTAGTTTTTAATTGAATATTTAATCAATTATCTTACTGGATAATATGATTTGCGGTATTTTCATCGGCATACATATGAACCACAAAAGTAGGTCGTGTGGTGTGCGGCCCTTGTGGCACGAAAGTTTGACTATGTAAAGAATGGTCCTGTGAAGAATGATCATGTAAAGAATGATCATGTAAAGAGTGATCCTGTAAAGAATGGTCCTGTAAAGAATGATCCTGTAAAGAATGATCATGTAAAGAATGGTCCTGTAAGGAATGGTCCTGACGACTTTTTTTGTTTATCACGTTCAATTTTGGTCGTTTTTTACTCAAAAAACGGTTCTTTTTCTCACTTATTAAAAAATTCACAATGTGGGCCAGTGCCCCCGACCCTTTTAGGTCCGCCACTGTGTGTTTGTGTTTCAGTTTTGCGTGTGTGTATCTGCCTGTATGATGTTTTTCATGATGATGAAAATAATATAATAATAATAATGTCATTTGCGCAGTACACTGCGCCAGAAACGCCTTAATGTATGTATTTTGTGCGTGTGTATGTATGTCTGTTAATGTGTGTGAATGTATGTGTGTGTGTGTGTGTGTGTGCTTTGTGTTTTTTTTGTGTGGCTTTCTACCCGCCCATCATTCTTGGATACATTGCGCGCGTTTTATTGGGTTTACTTTTAGTTCTTTTTTAAAAGCGCGGCTAAAGTGGGGTTAAGATTTTAATTATACTTTTATCTTCGTCGTCATTTCTGAGTCGTAATTTTCCGACTGAGATGTCCCAAAAGTCGATAGCGTATGTTAGTTTTGTTTGTTTTCATTATTTTTGGTGATTTTTTCAAAAGGTGATGCCTCAACTAAGACCTGACTAGACTAGAAGACTAGAGACTGGACTCAAAATTCCTATTAGATAGAGATAGAATTATTTAAAATGAGATTTACTTTACTTTACACATTTTACCATAAAATGAAATGAAGTTGTCTTGAATAAAAAAAATGAATATGATTGTTACCTACTTTCTAGTCAGCTTCCAGTTTGGGTAAAGACCAAGTTTCAGGCCTAGCATTGATATAATAATTCACTATTGCTATCTATAGCAGAGCTGCTTGCTATAGAATAGATAGCCATAAAAAAGTTAATTTAATTTTTAAAAGTTAAAAAACTAACCTAATTCGAACTCTAATAGTCTAATGGCTAATCCTAAAAGTTTTTCAACTTTTAAACATTGAATGATTAAATTAACTTTTTTACAGCTAAACATTGTGCATAATTAACTGCATTAGGCATGAAACTCGACGTTTACCCTGCCTAGTTTGTAATAAAATAAATTAGATGATATATAATTATAAAATTATATTATGTTAATATTATATAACGAAGATTGATTATATTATATTATGTAATGTTCCAATCATCTACAATTCCAATGTATGATTGCGCATGGCTATTATTATTCAATAGCAATTATTCTGTAATATTAATTATCATATAATAATAATTATTGTAGCATATTATATGTAATGCTAAAATGTAAGAAAATTGAAAATTAGGTTAGTAAGTAGAGCAAAAACTAAAGAATTTTAACGGCAGCTAATAAATAACTAATAATAATAACTAAATAAAATGATAATAATAATAAATACTATATTAAATTATAGATATAGACATTATAGACTATTATTAAATTATAAAAATTATAGATCATTTTTTGTTCGACAAAAGAAGAAAGAAGCCGAGGGAACGCCGTCTGCATCTACTGTTAATTTGCAACCTACAAACAAGTTAGCTGGATAGATGTGTTTTTGAAGTGAGGCTGAATTGGGATTGGTTGTAATTAGGTGAAAAAAAAGCATCTTTAAAATTAAAGATGTTTAATTTTCTTTGTCTTTAATTTTAATTTTATAGATCTTTTTCAAAAAACTTTGATAAATAAATAATAAATTTGAGAAATACAAAACTTGAGATTATAAAAAAATAAAAAAAAAAATTTTATAATTAGTAAGTATTTATTATTATTTATTAATTAAAAATCAAGGGAATGTCACATTCTCCTGACATGTGAAAATGATTTCAGAACTTTTCATTTAATTATTGATCACTTGGTTGGTTTGCTTGTTAGCTGGTTGGTTGGTAGATTGATAAGTTAGTTTAGTTTAAATTACTCTCTCACTTTCTTAGTTTGCCAGTAGCATATTTAGACTCCTAGGGAGTAATGCAAGTTGCAAGAAGTTTTTTCTCAGCTAAAAACTATTAAATTTTTTGAAATTTATAGAAAATTTTTTGAAATTTATAAAAAAATTTTGAAATTTTTCAAGATCTGTCAAGAGAAAATCAGATTCAACACCAGTGAAAAAGGCCAAAACTGCCAAAGAGGAAGAAGAAGAAGACCGTGACAATGATCAGCACAACAGCGACTGTGTCCAGAGCGAAGATGATGATTTCAATTGCAGTAGCAAGAAACGTCGGGCTAAAAGAGCAAAGAGAATTCTCGAAAGTGATGATGACGATGAGGAGAATGATGGTGGTACAGATGGTAAGAAGGACAGTTCATCTCTACAGCCATCATCATCATCTATACAACCACCATCATCATCATCATCTCTACAGCCATCATCATCATCATCTTCTTGTAAACCAGGGCCTAGAATTACAACAAGTGAACTTGTAATATTTTTATGATTTGGTTTTCATTAACTATTTTTTATTATCTCAACTTTTGTATTTCTTTATTTTTAGGGTTTTTTTTTGGGGGGGGGTTTATTGATTTTTTAAAATATTTTATAACTTGAAATTGATCATAAATTGATGGGTATCAAAGTTGAATAGCTTAGTTTGTGTGGAAAAAGGATTGTGACATTTAATAAATTAGAAACTGACTCAATATTTAATGTACATTATTCAGGGGACATCATGCTTTCTTATTTGATCATGTACCATTATCATTGTACATTTCAGTTGAATCTCTTTCTCCTCTCTTCGCACGCATCACACGTGTACATATGTGCATGTGCATATATCAGAACATACACACATGCACACACACACACACACACACATACATACTTTGTATGACTGTACACATACACACACACAAACACACACATAAGTAAACACACACACGCACATAAGTAAGCACACTCACATACATCTAACTAAACACTCACATAATACATACGCATGCGCACACATACATTCAAACATACATTTAAAAGTGCACCATCTCTCTCTCTCTCTCTCTCTCTCTCTCTCTCTCTCTCTTACTCACACACACACACGCACGCACACACATACACACACAGACGGCAATCAGAATGAAGTCATCAGTAAATTATGATGGTAACAGTGGTGATGTCACAGTACTTAGGGATGGAATTCCATTAAGAAAGACATGTAAGCTATATGTTAATTAGATAATTAATATTTATGCTTTATGTTAATTAAATGATTAGTGTTCATGCTTTATATTAATTTGTTTATTAAAATTATTAGTATTCATGTTTTATGTTAATTAAATGATTAATAGTCATGTTTTATATTAATTAAATGATTAGTATTCATGTTTTATGTTAATTAAGTGATTAGTTTTCATGTTTTATGTTAATTAGATGATTAGTATTCATGTTTTGAGTTAATTAGATAATTATCTTTCATGCTTTGTGTTAATTAGATGATTAATATTCATGGAAAACAATAAAGTTTTATATTAGCTAGGTATAATTAGTTAATCAGTATCCGTGATTCATGAATGTTCATTAAATATGCAAATTTTGTAATTAATATTAATTAGTTATTAAAAATTCTGACGTATATTCAAGGCTATGAGTAATTTTAACACACACACACACACACACAAACAGATCCAAGAAAGTCCATGAAATCTCCAGACAATGATGATGATGTTGATAGAAGTAATAAAAACAATAATAATAATAGTAACAATAACAACAACAATAATAATAATGACAGCATTAATGATAATGACTTTAACAACAATTTTGATGTTACAAGCTGTCAAACTATGGCTAAAGATAAAAAGGCAAAAATGAACCACGAGAAAAATACTAAAGCTGCTACTACAGCTGACGCTACTACCACTATTTCTACCCCTGCAGCTGCTGCAGCTACTACTGCTGCTGCTGATAATAATATTAATGATAGCAATGATACATTTGATGATACTACTAAAAATACAGCTAGAGAAACTGTTACTAAAATTCCATCTGCGAGTAGTAGCAGTAGTAATGTTAGTAGTAGTTGTAGTAGTAGTAGTGGTGGTGGTGGTAGTGGTAGTAGTAGTAAAAAGGTTGATAATTCATCATCATCATCATCATCAACGTCGTCTAGTAGTTCTCAAAATGCAAAACCTGTTCATAGTTTTTTTGGTGGGTTTTTCTTTGTGCATGCATGCATCCGTGCATGT